TCTGTCCCAGTTACTCCCAGACAAAGGTTTCCAGATTTGTGTCCAGCTACAGCTCCTAAAGAGACCTGACTGGGTGCCGAGGAGCCTGCTGAGCCGTTCCCAGAAGACCTGTGCTAGCATGATACAGGGGAAGATGATCGAGCCTGTCCCAGGGCTGGTAATTATCCCCCAGACTAAGGAGGGTACATTTTTCTCCAGCAAGGGTTATGTTAGAGGTGGAGGTGGTTTGCCTAGTCACAAACTCCCCGAACAGCCAGGTGTGTGAGTGGAGAAGCTACAGCCATAGTGCCAACCCAGGGACTGTCTGACACCAGGAGCCAGCGGGAGCACAGGGGTGAAAGCAGCCACATTCACTTCTGTCCTTAAGTAGGTTTGCAGAGATCAAGTCAGACTCACTGAGCTTATCAGAGGAGTAGAAATGTAGGGAGGCTCCAGGGAAGAGCTCCGGGATATGGAAAGGTAATGCCTCAGAGAGAATGACTGAGAGTTACAGGAGTTAATTAAGTTAGCGCCTCCTGTCCATTCTTTGTACCCAACCTTGATCTGTGGAGCAGGCACCTGATACAAATGGATGGAGGGTCCCTGCTGTACTAGAGCTTGCTTACGTTTGACTTTAGTATCTTCTTAGTTGTGAGCCTCTGGTATCACCTGACACTTGACTTTCAGAGAGCTTCCCCAAGGTCACCTTTGTAATCTACCATTTGTTATGGGACAGTGGTTTGGGATGTCACCTTGTCCTCCTGCCCAGTCTCTGAAAAAAGGTTTTATTAAACAAATGATATAAAGCTAACCTCCGAGTGTTTTGCAGATTTAGAAAACCATCATAATCAGGTGCTGGTGCACTCTTTTAATCCTGGCACTCAGGAGGCAGAGGCAAGAGGATCTCTGTGAGTGAGTTCCAGGACAGCCATAGCTACACAGAGAAACCCTGTCTCAAAAAACTCGGAAAAAAAATTTAAAAACGAAGAAAAGTCAGAGCGACAGCCAGGGCTGGAGCTGGGTTCATTGAAAGGGGAAAAAAGGGGGGGGGCACGCTATGTGGGTGAAAAAGAACACTCTTAGAGGCCGTAAGTTTATTGAATGAAAACCCCAGTGCCAGGGGTGGGCTACCTTCCTGTGAGTTATTGGCCAGGGAAGCCCCCTGCGGCCTCACAAACCATAAAACAAACCATAAAACTGCTGTTGGCTCTATCCCTGAACATGAAGGTCACACCCTCTTGCTGAGGACAGCGCATGTGCGCTTGTGCGCTTGTGCGCATGTGCAGGCTTTGACCGCAGGATGCAGGAAAGTAAAGCTGAGACTGAATGGGAACTCCCACCGGCTGCCTGGCTTTGGTAGTGCCAGAAGGAGCCACACGCAGGCTTCCGTCAACATTCCCGCACGGCTGTGGGCCATGCGTGCTTGAATACTGACAGCACCTCCTTGTGCCCGCTTGTGTGGCCCTGGCTTTGCCGTCCTGGGTGAGACCAACCAACAGCCTTCCAACTGTACTTAAGGCCCACTCCAAAAGAGAGTGCCTGTCGGATAATAGAAGCCAGGACAAAAACCTGTGGCTGAGGAGGTCATAGGTCCCTATGGGGAAGCAACTTGTATGGTTTTTCTAGATCAGCGGTTCTTGACCTGTAGGTCATGACCTCTATGGGGGTTGAATATCAGATATCCTGCATATCAGATGTTTACACTGGCAAAGTTACAGTTATGAATAGCAAGAAAATAATGATATGGTTGGAGGTTACCACAACATGAAATGTATTGAAAGGTGTTGGGAAGGTTGAGAACCACCGTTCTTGTCAAACTGCCTTCTAAGTCTGTGTTTACGCCCATGGACACCTCCATCAGCCTCAACTCATAAAGGCTGGTAAGCTCCTGAGAACAAGTGATAGTTGCTCTGGCATGGTGGCCTATTTTTCAGCCACAGGTGAACATCTATAGTCACCTGAACTATAGGTTCAGGGATCATTGAAGGAAAGGGGGCAAGAAGAATTGTAAGACAGGGAGGAAGGGGTGAGGTACTGCCAAACAGTGAAACATTCCATCCTGGGTAGGAAAGTAAACAATTCAAAATAGTTTCAGGAAGTCCCTGAAACTGATCAAATTCACTAGGCCTCTTCCTGCCAGAGTAAGTGGTAAAAGCTGAGAGTCCCTGAAAGCAACAGAACAGACTGTAAAGAAGACTCAGATAAGCCAAGCAGTGTGCTCCAGGTTCCCAGGCTGGGGTGGGCCTTGGTGATGCAGCTGTCTTTGAGTCACTTTTGCTTCTGTAAGTACCCCTCCCCCATATTCCTGTAAGGAACCCCAATAGGACTCACAGTTTACTATGTTGGACTTTGGTGGTACTGTACTTTGGTCTGTCATGGGATCTCTATTGGGGGTGAGTAGGCATGCATGCTTCTCCCCAGGGAACGTTTCATCTTACAACACCTCAGCCATTACTTGGCCTGTTTTGTTCTTCTGGGTGTCTGAGGGTAGGCATAGGCTATGCTCTTCATTTACTCCACACCAGGATGGGACCTGGGGCACCCAACTATCTGGAAACATTTTGGCATGGATCTGCCAGGGCACAATTTAGACCTGATCGACAAGGTCACTGGACACTGGACACTGTTCACTGCCCAGCTTTGGTGAGACAACTAGTTCGAGGATGTCATAAAGCCACTGCCATGCTTGTAATATTGCTCTTCCAGAATTATAGTAAGAAAGCAATCAGTGCTCCCCTGCACCAACCCTACAGCACGCAGGGCCCAGAAACCCAGCACAGGAGACACACACAACCACACCAAGCCACACAAATACCTCATTCCAACAGACACGTCCCCTGGCACATCCTGGAAGCCACAACAGGAATTGTAGTGTCACATTAACATCAGGGTCTGCACACTCATAGTCACTTGGTCTGTTGTTGTTGCTCTTTGTCTTTTGAGACAGGGTTTCATGTAGCCCAGGCTGGCTTCAAACTTGCTATGAGACCAAAGGTGATCTCAAACTTCTGATGCTCTGGCTGCCGCTTCTAGAATGCTGGAATCGCAGGCTTGTGCCCATGGTGTGTGGTGCTAGAGAGCTGCTAGGTCTGTGTTATGTCAGAAGCCAGGACCCTCGCCCTTACACTCACCCCCTACCTTCCTCCACCTGCACAATGTCCCCTGCAGTTTGGCAACTGCAAGATCCTGCTTGGCAAGCAGTGTATCATATCTTCTGAAGAATAGCAGGGAGACCATAACTCAAAGCAGTGTACCATATCTTCTGAAGAATAGCAGGTAGATCATAATTCAAGGCAGTGTACCGTATAGACCATGACATGTTTCAAGGCACAGGCCAAGAAGATTCTGTACTTTTCTACCACCTGGCCCCTCTTACCCCCTCCCCTTGTAAAGCATACTATAAAAAAATTTCATGTTCAAATACATGTCTCTTGACAAGCAAATGTTTGCTTGAGTCCTTTCCCTCTCTCGCCTGTTCTTCTTTCAGGTTGCGGTCCTCCTCGCCCCCATGAATAACTAGGATCCACTGGTCGGGTCAGTGTTACTTGCCAAAACAGAGCCCCAGTCCTCAAATCTTGTGTATGAGGATGTGTACCTGTGTTGGCCAGGGTTCAACCTTAAGAGTCACTAGAAGCTGCCCACCTTTGAGACGGAGTGCCAGGAGCTGCCCACCTTTGAGACGGAGTGCCAGGGATCCACCTGCCTCACCTTCAGTACTAAGGTACAAGCCAAGGATGCCAAATCTTTTTTTTTTTTTTACAGGGTCTCATACAGCTCTGGCTGCCCTGGAGCTTGTTATGTAGACCAGGGTAGCCCCACTTCACAGAGATCTGCCTGTTTCTGCATCCTAAATTCTGGGATTATGTGCCATTATGCCTGGCTTTACACATCTGGTTTGTTGACTAGGGTTCTGGAAATCAAACTCAGGTCTTCAAAGCAATACAAACAACTGAGTTCTCTCCCAGGCCCTACCCTCAGTCATTCATTTGTTAATTTCTGTGTTGTAGAACTCAGAGCCTCTCCAGGCTGGGTAAGCACGTTACCATTGAGCCACACTCCCTGCCCTATACTCCAAACTGTAATTATTCAGACCCGTCCCACGACAACAGTCACTTGCATACACACTGTGTCCCACAACCAGAGTCATGATCCACTCTTTGGCATACCTGAGGATTCACTTTCAGGCACTAGGGTCCACCTTCTGTCCCCAGAGCTTCTGGGTCAAGCTGACCCACAGAAAGGCTCATCCAGTGGTACCTCTTCCTCTTCTCCTCACATTGGGGAGAGGAAAAGATTCCTATACTTCTCTTCCCATGATAAATTGGGGGCCAGATGGGCACCCTCCGTCTGGCCTCCCCAGGGGTCCTGAAGCAGATTTGAAGGGAGGAGTCCAAACACCCCCAGGCCAAGTTAGAGAGGGGGGTTTCCATGGTGATCTCTCCCAAGGGAACTTGGGCTCACATGGTCCCAGCTGCAGCTGCTGCTGAGAAGGGAGGCCATAGGGGAGGGGCGCTGCACAAAGGTGGGGGAGGGGTCATTCTAGCCTGCCCCCTCCCCAGTCCCTGATTAGATTCCAGATGGCAGATGGGCCACACCCCTTTTTCCAGGACAAAGACAGGGCAGGGGTCTGTCCATGGGGCCCAGGTCACTCTGTCCTACCTCCTGGGCCTGGCGGATTCCCTATCTTTCAAAGAAAGTGTGATATACTGTCAATAATGTATTCTCCAGCCAGGGAATGGCTCAGCAGGTAAAAGGACTGGTGCCAATGTGACCATCTGATTTTGATCCCTGGGACCCACATGGTGAAAGGAGAAAACCAGTTCTGACAAGTTTGCTCTAATCTCCACCATGCACACACATACACAGGATATTAAAAATATACAATAATCTCTCACACTGGTGAGTAAGGAGATAAAGCCAGGCAACTAACAAGGAGCGAGCTGAAGCTTCAGGAGCAGGGGGATGATGGGAAGGACAGGGACAGCAGTGAGGGGCAGGTGTCACAGAGTGGGGACACTCACCTTGATGGTCTTGGTCTGCAGTTTGAGGCCATTGAGGGTGTTGATGGCTTTGTCTGCATCATTTGGGTCAGAGTAGTTAACAAACCCATAGCCCAGGCTCTGCCCTGTGGGAGGACCAGAAGAGTGACTTCCCTAGTCTGCCCAGTGTCCCCAACAAACCCAGCCACTGGACATTGTCCCACTCTGATGATAATGTGTTCCCCAGAGAGCCGTTTGGCTCCATTCATCTTGAGGTACCCCACCCAGGTCACACTCCCTCCCTGCTTCCCACCTGGGGCCACACACAGAGAGAGCCACACCTGTGATCTTATCCCGAACCAACTTGCAAGATTCAATGTCCCCAATGCTGCCGAAGAGACTCTTGAACTCGTCCTGTGTCATGTTCTGGGGTAGGTAGTTGACGATGAGGTTGGTCTTGCTGTCATCAGTGGCTCCATTTGTTCCAAGGAGTGGCCCGTTGGGCAGGGCCGGGCCGGCCGGCCCCCCCCCAACCTGAGACTCCATGGCCCCCAGTATCTGCTGGAGAAAACAGGTCGTACCCGCTCACCGCCCAGCCCCCATCACTGGGCTAGCAGGAAGGACGGGTTGGAGATGGATTAGACATGTCTAACATGAATTTAATCAATGCAGGGGGTAATGGTTTCCACTAGATTTTGTTTGCTTGTCTCTCTGATTGGAGGTGGTCTGGGTATGTAGCTCAGGCTGGGCTTGAACTCACAGAGACCTACCTGCCTCTGCTTCCTGATTTCCAGGATTATAGGCATGCCACCATGCCTGCCTATATTCGTCTTCTTTTATTTTAATTATTTGTGGGACTGGAGAGACAGCTCAGCAGTAAAGGTGTTTTCACGTAAGCCTAAAGACCCAGGTTCTGTCTCCATGACCCAGAGAGGGGGAAAGAGAGCTGACTGCTACATACAGTGTCCTATGACTCCCCACAAGAAGACCATGATACAAGTGTACCATGCATGTACACAAAACAAAATTAAAAGGTAATGCATTTTTCATTAATAAAAAAATAAGTGCTTTATAAGGCTAAGTATCTCACATGCTTATAATCCCAGTACTCAGGATGCCTGGACTAAGCAGTCAGACCTTGTCCCTTTTTTTTGGGGGGGGGGGAGGGTTTTATGTAACCCAGGCTAGTCTCAAAAATTGCTGTGTCGCCAAGGTCAACTTTGAACTCCCAATTTTCCTGCCTGTACCACCCAGGTGCGGGGATGTAGGAGTAATGTCACCAGACCTCAGACCTTGTCTCAAAACCTAACCAAAATATGGTATAAGGTCAGGGGATACGACTCAGTGGTGGAACTGTTGCCTAAGACAGGTGAGGACCAGCGTTTGCTTCTTAGCCCACAGACACTGTAAGCTATGGTCTGGCTCTGCTGGAGTGTGTGTGTTGGGCCTAGTGTGGCTGGGCTGTAGATCCTTTAAGAAATGGGACCTAGTGGGGAGTAATCAGGTCATTGGCAGGAAGTGTTTACCTTGGAAGGTATTGATGTTCTTAGGGACCCTGGACAGTTCTCTCAAGAGTGGGTAGTTTGGGGGTCGAGAACGAAGCTCAGCAGTTAAGAGAGTTTGAGTTATTGTGAAGGACCAGACTCACAGCCACCTAACTCTACCTTCAGGGGAATCTAATACCCTCTTCTGGCCTCCAGAGGTACTGCACTCTTAAGTGCATATACATAAATTTAAAAATCTGAGAGAGGAAGATGGAGAGGGAGAGAGCGAGAAAAGGAAGGAGAGAGGGGAATAGGGAGAAAGAAGAAAGAGAGAGAGAGAGAGAGAGAGAGAGAGAGAGAGAGAGAGAGAGAGAGAGACTCTGAGACTAAGACTAGGTTCTTTTAGAAGAGAGAGCGCTGGGTGAGCTGGAACAGCATCTCTGTAAGTTGCAAGGTTGCAAGTCCCTTTAGGTTTTGTGCAGAATAGACCATCACATGTGCCTGGCCCTTTTGAACTCAGCATTTCCTTCTTTGCTTTCCTACCCTTCAGAGTAGGGGGTTAGCGCATGCTCCCAGGGATGGCATGGTGGTCTCCTTTCCCACCTCTGCCACATTGTGACCTAACCAGAAGCCTCCAGAGGATGACCACATAGGCTCACCTGCTTTTGGACTTTCAACCTCTAAAGCCAAGGTAATAGAATCTGTTTTTGTTGCCTGACACAGTAGCACATGTCTGTAATTCTAGCCCTGGGGAAGCTAAAGCAGGACCATTGCAGCAGCTCTGGGGCTAGCCTAGACTGCACGGTGAACCCTAACAGAAGCAAACACTCCAAACTTCTTTCTTTCTTTTAGAGTTTCTTTTCTTTCTTTCTTTGTTTCTTTCTTTTCGAAAGAGGGTTTCTCTGTGCAGCCCTGGCTGTCCTGGAACTCACTCTGTAGACCAGGCTGGCCTCGAACTCAGAAAACTGCTTGCCTCTGCCTCCCAAGTCCTGGGATTAAAGGCGTGCGCCACTACTGCCTGGTTCTTTTAATGTTTTAAGACTTAAATTTGTTTGCTTGTTTATTGTATGGTATGTACTGTGTATGTGCCCTGACACACATCTGGAGGTCAGAAGACAACTTGTGAGAGTCTGTTCTCGCTTCTCAACCCAGGTTGTCATGCTTGGCAGCAAGCACCTTTACCTGCCAAACCAACTCACAGTCCCTGTTTCCTTTCTTTCCTTCTTTCTTTCCTCTCTTCCTTTCTTATCTTATTTTATGTGCATTGGTGTTTTGCCTGCACATATATCTGTGTGAGGATGTCAGATCCCTCTGGAACTGGAGTTTCCGGTAGCTGTGAGCTGCCATGTGGGAATTGAACCTGAGTCCTCTGGAAAAGCAGCCAGTGCTTGCTCTTAACTGCTGTTAACTGTTGAGTCATCTCTCCAGTCCCCTTTCTTTTCTTTTTCTCATCTTTTCTTTTCTCTTTTTTTTCCCAAGACAGTTTCTCTGTGTAGTCTTGGCCATCCTGGAACTCACAGAGATCCTCCTGCCTCTGTCTCCCCAGTACTGGTATTTACAGGTGTGTACCAGCACCAGCTGGCCTCCCTCTTTTCTTAATAAGTATTCAGATTCAAGAATTTTGTTACAGCAGGAGAAAGTAGGCAGCTGCTCCATATGAACAAGCAAGTTCCTAAAATCAGCCTGGGACTTTTCAGAATAATAAAGGAACACTTCTCTTCACAAAAAGAAAAGTAGTCACAGCCTGTCTGGTGGGGCACACTTTTAATGCCAGACCTATGTATCAACTTCCAGGTTAACCAGAGCTATACAGTGAGACCATTTTAAAGAGAATGAGAGAAGAAAAAAGAAACCAAAATCAAACAAACACTAGACATGTAACAGTTTCAGTAGTGATAAAGCCACAGCCAAGCCCTTCTCTAATGTGATTTATTTTTCTTTTCTCACTAGAAGTAATTCCCATCTCGAGTGTGTCAGTATTATTCCTTCCTGCATAATTTTCCTACTCTTTGCTCCCACAATTTTCCCATGATTTTGATTTGAATTTCTTTTCTTCTTTTTGTAAAACATAAAACATCTACACAGAATAACAGTTTTATTTCTTAATTTCTAGACTGTATCTGTCATGTTTTTGTGGAGATGAGGTGCTCACTGCAAGGGATCTTATTCCTGGTATTAAAGAAATGCTGAAAACAAAAAAGCTGTCTGGGGTGTGGTGGTGCACACCTTTGTTTTGTTTTCCAGACAGGGTTTCTCTGTGTAGCTTGGCTGTCCCAAAACTCACTCTGTAGATCAGGCTGGCCCCAGATCACCGCCTGGCTTGCTGGTGACCTTTAATCCCAGCACGAGGAAGGCAGAGGTGGGGGATCTCTGTGAGTTCAATGCCGTTCTGGATGCCAGGGGTACACAGTGAGACTCTGGCTCCAAAAGGAAAAGAGGAGACAGCTGGGCATGGAGGCATTTACGTATGCATATGTGTGATTCCAACATTTAAGAGACTGAGGCAGAAGGACCCATGAATTCAAGGCCAACTGGAGCTACACAATCAGATCGTGCATCCAAAAGCCCAAAATAGGAAGCTGGAGGGACGGACGGCTCAGGGGTTGAGAGTGGTGGTCGCTCTGCAGAGACCCAGGTCTAACTCCCAGCACCTGCTTCCAGCCATTTGCAACTGCAGCTCCAAGGAATCTGACACCCCACCCTGTTTTGGCTTCTGTGGGCTCGCGCGTATTTGGGTGCACATAAACTCACACAAGTACGTACACATAAGTAAAAAATACATAAATATTTTTAAAAGCCCCAAAGAGACAAATAAATGCTTCCAATATTTCACAGATCCATAATCAGCTTAGCTACAGATACTCTCCCCCTAGGGACAGCAAGATGGTGCAGCAGATTCATGTGCCTGGTGGCCTGAGTTCGATCCCCCTGGACCCACATGGTGGAAAGAAAGAACCCATCCTTGCCATTGTCTTCTTACTTCCACAGACACACCATGAAACGCACATGCTCACACATGCAGTGAATATACACTAAACAATTTTAAATTGGAGTTGAGAGATTTTTTTTTCTAGATGAGCTTTATCCAGTTAAGGTTATAAGTTGGAGGTGGGTGTGGTGGTGGCACACACAGCCCCAAATCATTTGAGGGGCACAGGTCAGAAGTTCACCATAATCCTTTCCTAAAGAGAGAGGGAGGGGGAGAGAGAGAATATGGAATGGGCCAGCAGGATGTCTCAGTGGGTAAAGACACTTGCCTCAGAAACCTAACAGCTTTGAGTTTGATCCCCAGGTCCAGGTCCCACACTGGAAGGAGAGAATCAAGTTCTGAAGTTGTCCTGCGACCCTCTTTCACTCTCTACCTTACACACACACACACACACACACACACAAATAATAGTAGTTGTAATTTTTAAATAAAGAGAAGAAATATTTTCTGCTGGGAAAATATTTGAGCTGTAACTCAGGAATAGTGTGCTTGTCCAAGATGACCAAGGCTCTGTTTGAGCCCTAGCAGTTAAAAACAAAGAAGGAATGTTTTTCCTAGATTTCCCCTTTCATCAGGGCTTGAGCCTGAGTTCCCATCCATGCTGATGAGAGCAGCACAGTCTTATTTCTCTGGCCATTTTATGTTCTTTTTGAGCCAATGCCTCTTATACTCCAAAGTAGCCCATGATGACCTTGAACTCCTGAACCTGAGTGTTAGGATTTGGGGCAGACACCACCACCACACACTAGGCCAGCACTCTATCAACTGAGCTGGGTCCCAGCCTTCCCCCAGGTTCTGATATAGATCTTGTTAAGCTGTCTGGGTTGTCCTCAAACTTGCAAACTTCAAAACTCCTAAGTAGCTGGGATCAAAACGATGCTTTACAGTGCCTGTTCTGCCAAGTTTTTGAAGAATCATATTGCATCTTATTGAATCATTTTCTGTATCTAATGAAGTAATTTTGGGGGAGGAAGGTGGCTTTTTGAGACAGGGCTTTGCTATGTAGCCCTAAAAGGCATGGAGCTAACACATCTATCTGTATTCTGTTTAGATTTATTTTTATTCTTTTTAATTGTGTGTTTGTGTGT